TATGTAATGATGATGTATATTTGTATAACAATGTAAGTGCAATAGAGCAATGAGGAAAAAGCAAAAGTAAAGCATGAAACAAGGCAGAGAGCAAATTACAACTCAGCAAATTAAGGTTTATTAGTTCAAGCTTGTAATGATCCTAAATTATTACTTTTTAGCAAATAGTCGTAAATCGTTAGGGACTTGAGCTTCTATTTTTGTTCTAAAAAAACAATAGTTGAAAAATTTTTAGAAAGGCAAAAAGAGGCACAACTGTTTCATTTTTTTCTGCTTATTTTTTTAAATGTCTAAAAAAAATAAACCAGATGCAGACTAAAACTTCATAACGCTCACCCAGATATTCCAGCTAAGACCACCAAAGGGGGTTTAATCCATTTTTTATACACACAGATCTCTAAACGGCATCTTCTTTAGCCGTTACACCACAATAATTAAAGCCCTTAATGGATGTTATTTGTGTGCCAATATGATTATGTATCCGTTGGCTGTGCATTAAATCATTATGCGATTTAACTGGTTCAAATGTCTATGCGGTAGGGTAAACGGGATCGTCAAATTGATTTGGAGTGTCAAAGTGCAGGCTTCAATGAATGCTCTAATCAAACTCTGCTGTTAAATGGTAAAGAATGATTTTCTATCATTTACTGCTTTACTATGTGTGATCAAAAGTGTTTTTAAAGTCAAGAGTGTTAATACATCTAGATTGAATGCATGGCTGCCACATTTGTATAAAATTAAATACATTTAAATTGTAACCCATCAGGCCATGTGTCAACCTCCAGTTTGTGAAGCATTTTTCCAGCCAATAATCTCCTTTTATCACCTCTTTAGATGCAATCTAACATCATTCTATGGTGCTGATAAAGAGACTAAAATTTCAATAGTTGAACATGTGTACTGGAATTATAATTTAGAGTCTCCGTAGGGGATGTAGGTCAGTTGAAAGACTATTTCCTCAGTGATTGTAATTCCCATTTGTTCAGGGTTTTTTTTCCCTAGAAACAGAGCTTTCAAGTCTTTGTGTGACTATAACGCCCTGAGCAGGACAGTGGCTCTTAACATTCTTTTGTTAAATGTCCTGTTTGTACGACAGTTTGCTTAAAGCTGTCATTACATTTAGTTTCTGTTTTGACTGAAAGCTCCAAAAACACAGTTTGTGGTTTTATTTTTATTTTTGACCTTGAACTTTCACCTCTTGAATTGGCCTTACTGGACTCTTTGCTGAGTTCAGCTCCATAGTGGTGGAAAAAACAAATAAGGTCATGTTTATGGTTGAACTTGGGGAAAAGGGGCTGGCAGGAAATACCCATTTAACCTTTCAGGACACTCATGAAAAGAAAGGAAGTCATTCATTTAGTCTCCAGTGATAAAGCCTGGGTGAATTGTTAACTTTCTTTCTTTTCTTTGGTGAAACCTGATTTCTTTTTTATCACATCACTTTCCCAATTGGGTCTTCCCATCTTAGCACCCAAGCCTAGCCAAACTAATTTTGTGGCCACTCCTCTGGGCTTGAGAAATAGTTCCATGAAACCATGCATGAAAGGGAAAAATTGATTTGTTTATGTATCATCTCATCATAATGGGTTTTTGCTCTGATTCAGTGACAAAACCTGATGTTGTAGGAAAAAAAGAGAGGGATTACTCTGGTTGCTGGCATGTTCGTATTCTGTTTCTGTGTTGTCTAAACCTGATAAGTATGGCAAAAAACAAAGCTGTCCGTTGTTGACCCTCCCCCCCAACAGAAGTCATTATGCTGATCAATGTTTGTCAGAGAAGCAACAGGCTCAAACAACACACAGAGACATGAAGGATAGCATAAAAACATGTAAGAGCCCTAGGCTTCTTCCCTATGTTTCTGCAGTCCAGTGTGTGAACAACATACCTGCAATTACGTTGATAGTTTTACTCAGCTTGCACCGCTCTTAAGTCTGTCAGACTTTAGTGAAAAATGATAACATAAAAAATGAAAAATAGTTTTTAGGAATTTGACTCATATTTCTACACGTGTTTCAATCATTTTAGTTGTATTTGCCTAGGTTTCGTTACATCCAGTTTGAGTGAAACTGTGGTATTTCTACTACGTTTCAGTTGTTTATGTGCACAACAGCAGCTGTTGTTATCTCTGACATCGAAACTTTTTGAATCCATGTTTTTGGAATTGCATTAGTGTGAAATATACGCACTACAGATAGCTGCTTAGTCCCTGCTTCAGTTTTTCCCTGCTTGAGCAAGTAGATAACAACAACAATGACGGTTAGCAGAGCACTCACCCATTTCAACATGTAGTAGCAAACCAACCTGTATATTGTACTGTGTATTTTACGTTAAATATTCCCGAGGTAGCATGGACACGAAGAACAGTGATAAATTATTTTGCAGTCATTGGTAGGGCTTGGGATCATGGCCATTTCCCTTAATCGATTCGATTTCTGAATCAATTAATCACTATTTGATGTGATTTGACCAGCTCTTAAATAATGAAAATGGCTCAACTGTGTTGCAAAATAGAAATTTACTCTTTTTCCCCTCTCTCTTCAATATAAACTGGTTTTCAGGTGATCTTAATTTCCCGCAGAGAATCAGCTGGAAATGTTAGTGATTCCCTTAATTTCTTTTGTTACCCTGGACGGCTTGCTGTTGGAAGCTAACGTTAGCACTTGGATGAACCTCAACCAGACGTAGATGTATGGCAAGCCAAGAGTGACACAAAATATATAAACATGCCTCTGCTTCATCACACACACAACCACTGAGGTTAACGTCATGGGGAAAAATCGATCTCATGCCCTGTGATCATTGCCCTTATCATTACCACTTAAATGAAATAAGGAAATATTCAGTGTGTATCTCTTTATTTTGACAAGCCCACCTATAAACTACAAAAGCCTTACACAGAAACTGAATATGCATATAACCTGATCCCCTTTATTTGTTAAACCATAGCTGCTTGTTTGACTCTGTCATCAGTCCGTTCTGGGTGGTACCACATGACCACAGCATCTGTCTGTACAGACAGTTCATTTAGCCTCTTTGTCTGCAGAGCCTTATATAGAAAGGTTTTTTTTTGCACAGGTCAAATTAGATTTATTTGAAAATATACAGTCAGGAGATCTGTTGCCGGTGAATAACTTCCTGGTAATAAAGAACAGAACCCGGTCCATCTGTTTGCATGGTACATGGAGGTCTGTGGTGTTAAACCTGCTCGAGGGGGTTGTAGAGGCAAGTCAAAAGGAGCAGGAGTATGTATGTTTGTGTGTGGGTGGGTGAGGGTGTTTCTGTAAATAACCCACCCTGCATTAAGAGCAGCCATGCTGGGGCTCTGATCTGTGCAGCCCTGACCTCACCAACCAATCCGCTGCTCACACTTCCTCGTGGCGTGGGAGGTTATGAGAGTCAGTGCAGACTTTATCCAGGTCAGATCTGGACCTTTCTAACTGGTAAAGCTCTGCCGCTGGTGACCCC